GACACAAGGTAGGAGGTAAAGCAAAGCAGGCCAGAAAGTGAGGCACATAGATTGGATACAGTCTAAGACACAATACACCTTCTGCCCAACCGAGTTACAGAAAAGAGGTGAAGCCAAGATGCCTAGACACCCAGATATCTGACGTATCTCTTTGTTTTGCTTTTTGGGAAAAGACATTCTATGTCAAGGCCAAGCAGCCAAGTGTTGTGTGAGCCACACTCTCCCTTAGAGAAGGCAGAGCATCTGAGAAGTTACTGGTAAATGAGATGGAAAATGTCCAAGAGTTTCTTATTCCTTTCCAAAGAAAATTAACCTGATGGAGACTGCACAAACAGAAAATACTGGTCCTGCATTTGGCAAATTGTATCTGCTTAATGATTCCTTCTATGAACTAACAGTGTGTGCATTTAGATCTCCATCATTTATTTTGACTCCCATAGTGCTGAGCAAGTGCTATATCGCTGAACCACCCTCCAGGCCTTGAATCTCCATGATTCCTACTAGAACACAGCTCTGCTAATTCTAATTCGCTGCATGTTTAGAAGGAGCCGAAGGTCCAGTTGACAGCCCAGTGACCATTCATGAGTATGTATTATGTTCAGGGCCCTGTGCTCCATGTTGAATGTGAAAGACAGGTGAATCCACTTATTCCATTAAGGAGACAGATAAATGACAAACCTATGAGTCATTATGCCCTATAGTTCCAGTTAAGTGCTTTGCGGAAGATGGATAGGTGCTTTGGTGAGGAAAGCCTGGGTGTTAGGCAGTAGCTGGACCAGGTGTTCAGACTGGGCCCTTAAGGAGCTTCAGCCTGAGCAGGGAGAGGAGCCTGTAAGGCAAAAGTGTTGGGGGAAAGCCTTTAGTCAGAGAGACCAGTAAGTCTACAAATAGGCTAAAAGAAGATCCAGAAAGGTTGTGAGGGCTCCAAGGAGTTACAAGAAGATAAGAACAGAGCAGGAGAGGGAGGTAAAGACGGGGCACCTTGGAGTGAGATAATCAAAATGACTGCAGGGCTGGAGGAGGGTATAGGGTAGCCTGACGGGGGAGGGGGAGTTAGAATGTTCTGTGCCCTCAAAGTTTTGAGGAAGATCACACCATCACTCTTGTGGTATCACCATCGAAACTGTCTCTCCAGAAGTTAATTACAAGGAAGTATTGGACCCCATTCAGATGGAGTTCTGTCAGCTTTCTGCTGCTGTCCAACATCCTGTCGTGAGACAGCTTTGTCAGTTTTAAAGGATTCAGCCTGTGGCTGGCTGGTTGGTCCATTGCTTTGGGCCTATGGGCAGGTAGCAAATAAAGCATGGTAGGAATGAGAGATGGCCAGATTAGCTCATGGCCAGAGAGAGAAAGAGAAAAGAGACTAAGGCCCCATAGTTCGAGTACAGCCCCAACAACCTAAAGCTCCTCTTTAGGACACATCACAGTATCACCACACTGGGCCGAAGCCTTTAACATGGCCTTTGGGGGGACACTAGATTCAAACAACAGCAGAGATGTCCTGCAAAATGACTGATTCAACAAATACTCTGCAAGAATGTCAAGGGACTGTCTAGACTCTAGATTTAAAGACAACCAAAGCAGCAGGTAACTCTGGGATGGGTCCCAGATTAGACACTTGTTAGTGTCATAAATGGGATTAAGTTCTGCAGATTGGGTAACATGGTGTTGGTCAGTAAACAGAAGTTGTGTAGTCAAGTGTCCTTAGTTTTAAGACATATGAGGAAGATTGTGTACTATATACTCTCAAACATTTCAGAGGGAATATCATGTATAAGCAAAGGTCTTGATTCATAAGGATTTTATTTATATATTTGTATTTATTCATGTGTATGTATAGCATTGTACTAGGGCCCTTTAAGATGACTTTGTGGATAAAACTGCTCTACCTGACTCCGAGTCTCTCCGAGAAGGAGAGAACCAATTCTAGCAAACTAGACACACATGCAAACAGATGCTTAAACAATGTTTTAGAGATGGTTCTCCAGAGGTGCAGAACCAACTCGGGGTGTGTGTGTGTGTGTGTATGTGTGTGTGTTTTCAAATCGTTTGCAGGATATGTGCTGGGCAGTTTAACAGTGGCCACCTGAGAAACCAGGAGCTGCTTGGTCCATGAGGCTGAATGCCTTAAGAATCCCAGTGTTCTGTGCCGGAAGCTGAACTTGATGTCAGCTGAGTATAACAGTTGCAGCAAAAATGATATAAATATACTCATATCGAGAGGAAGGGGGAGGCAGGGCGGTTTTTTTCCTAGGACCTGTGTATCTGGGACACTTAGGGAAGATGTTGCCTACCCTAGGCGAGTATCTTGCCACCTCAGTTAGTGCTTCCTAGAAATGCCCAGAGGACCCATGCAGAGGTGTGTCTCTTGGTTAATTCCAGATTCAGCCAAGCTGAACACAGATATTGACCATCCCACTGTGTGGAAGGAAGCGGAGAACAGACATGAAGGGGCATGCTAGAGACTTCTCTTGTCACCATGACCAAAAATACTGGAAAGAATCAAGAGTAGAGAAAGGGCCTTACTGGGAATGCAGTCCACCACAGCAGGGTAGCATGGCATTGGATCTCACTCTACGGTAGTGGGAGCTTGCAGCTTCACACTGTAGCTGACCAGACACTTCAGGATGTGATTTTTAAGGCTGACCACCCCAAACCGGTCCTCTGCCCCCACACCAGCCATCCACTAGCTCACAAGTCTAAAACGGCACCATTGGCGAGGGAATGAGGTGTTTGACACATGGGCCTACAAGGGGTAATCTCAAATTCAAATTATAACATAACATTTGGGGAGTCAGAAGAAAATAAAATTCGCCACTTTTCTCATTGTTGCAGCAAAAACACTTGACAAAAAGCAACTTAAGGAAAGGAAGAGTTCATTTTGGCTCACAATCTGGGGAAGGTAGAAGGTATGATGGCAAGAGGGTAAAGGCAGCTGGTCTGGCCACTGTGTCCACAGAGAGAGAGTAGAGATGGATGCTGGTACTCAGCTCACTTTCCCCTTTCTATTCAGTCTAGGGTACAGCCCATGTTCAGTTAAACCTCTCTGTAAGCACATGAGACACACCCAGAGGTTTGTCGGATAGGCAACCCTAAATCCTGTAGACTAATAACCATCACACGCTAAAATCCCTTCTACAACCGCAACCTTTCCCCAGGGCTGTACCAATTACTGTGTCTATAGCTGCACCCACCCCTGACACCCCACACCTCCAAGCCCCAGTTCTCACACATGTTAAACAGCTGCCAAGATTTAAAGTGCAGGCTAAGTCTGGGTTTGCAGTTCACACTGGATGGCAGAGACAAGTGTCTCTGTAAACTAGGAAGCAGTAGGCAGCCAGGAGTCTGGACAGTGCTGGCAGGGAAACATGGCGTATGCCCACTCAGCTATATTTTCTCGTTTTCTTCTGCTTCCAAGAGGATGGAGGCTCTTTAAATTCTAAACTTGGGTCAGTTAATAACACAACACAACCCACTTGATGATGCATGCCGTCCAGGAGGCTGGATGCTAGAACAGGAAATATCCTGGTGAGTTCTCCAGGGGAGGGGGGGTCACTGGTGATCTCACTACCCAGCACCCACTGTTGCCTTTATCAACTACCTAAACCCAGAACTGGAATTATGCAGACTGATAGTCTTCTCAAGTCTCAATTTGATCCCATCCCTTTCTACCTTCTATTAAAGGAAGCTAATGTCATATAGCCCCTTGGAGCCAATTTAAGATTCACATACTCAAGAATATAGTTTGGGTTTTTTGTTTGTTTGTTTGTTTGAGACAGGGTTTCTCTGTGTAGTGAACTAGCTCTTGCAGGCTAGGCTGGCCTCGAACTCTGGCTCCTGAGTGCTGGGATCAAAGGCCTGTGCCACCACGGACGGGCTGTAATTTTGTATTTCTATAAAAATGTAACCGATGTAACCGGCAGCCCATTAAATATACACTATGTTAAGTTAAGGATATGTGATCGTCTTTTGTACCTCACACAACCACTTTCCCTTCTCCCATTCACTGTTTTCCCCAAACAGTATCCTTCCAGGATCTACCTAATCATAATGGATGACATCTATTTATTTTCTTATTGGTACTGCAGATTCAAAGTTTTGCATATGCCTGGCAAGCAGTTTGCCATGACTTATCTCACTAAGTTGCCCAAGCTAGCCTTGCACCTGAAATGCTTCTGAAAGCTGCGCTGTCTCCTTTTAAACTGCATAGTATAAAATAACAGCAAGGCCACAAGTTTGGTCATCAGAGATATATTTTCTATTTTCCCAGCAGCACCTGTATTTACTGGTGCTTTGGGGGAGTGGACCTTGGCTTCCAACAGGCCCAATCTAACTGTTGTTTTCCCAGGCCTGTGAGGACCCCTCCCTGGTCACTTGGTGCTCAGGAGGGAGCCAGGGTGGACTGTCTTCTGAGAAATGGATTATCCACCTCGGCCAAGAAACAGAGAAGGGGGCCCGGGATACACAAGACATGGACGCCCCCGACTGCACCCCGCCCCATCCTCAGAGTCTGTGCCACAGCTAGGGTCACCAGGACGCGTCCACCCCTGGCACGCGTGGCCGTCCCGGCAGGCTGACGCAAGCCGGGTCGCGGGCACGCGCGCCCTGCCCTCATTCATTCACTCCTTCATTCATTCTGGGGACGCTGGCCACGAGCCCTCAGCGACCGTCCGCCCGCGAGGCCCACCGAGTTTGTGGAGACAGGGCGCGGGGACAAATGTCGGGCGGTGCCCGCCGATCAGCGGCAAGCGACTAGGAGGGCTCAGCCGCCTTTCCCGCCCACGAGGCCGGGGTAGGCCACCGCCCACGTGACGCGCGGCCTCCCGCAGTGAGCGCATGCGTGCCGGAGCCCGCGCTCGGAGCCGGCTCACCAGGACCTCCTGCTCTGCGTGCGTGCGCGTTCCCGCGCGCCAGCACCACGTGACCCACGGCCCCTCTCCCGCCTTCTGCGCTCCGACTGACCCGCCGAGTCGGGCGGGCAGTGCAGGCGTGCGCGTGCGCGTGAGCCGCGTGGTTGGGCGCGGCGCCGTTGCTCCGCCCCTTTAGGCTCCGCCCCCTCCGCGCGCCGGCGTCCGCTGCGTCTCCGGCATTTGAATCGCGCTTCCGCCATCTTTCCAGCTTCAGTCGGACAGGCGCGGAGAGTCTTCTGGAAGGTAGCGGCGGGGCCGGGAGGATCGGGCCGGGTGCGGGCGGCGGCGGGGAAGGGGGTGCCTTTCGGGTGGGCGCGGGGCGGCGACGGGGAGGAGAGCGAACGGGCTGCGCCCTGGGCTTCTCGGCCAGCTTCCCTTCCCCCCACCGTCTCACGCCGCGTCCCCGCCTTCCCGCGCGCTCTTCCCGGCCGCGGCCTTTGTGGGGCGCACGTGCCGCAGCCGCTCTTTCCCGCAGGATCGCCGCGATGGCCGCCCAGGGAGAGCCGCAGGTCCAGTTCAAGGTGCGTGCGCGGACGGACGGATCGACCGGCGGGCCTGCGGGCTGGCGGGCGGGAGAGCGAACGGGAGGGGAGGTCGGGAGGACGGCATGGCCGGAGGGAAGCGGGCCGCTCACGCTGCCTTCTCCTTAGCTCGTCCTGGTGGGCGACGGTGGCACCGGGAAGACGACGTTTGTGAAGCGCCACTTGACGGGCGAGTTCGAGAAGAAGTATGTAGGTAGGTGCGGAGGGGCTGCGTGGCTACGGGCGGGGAAGTGGCCGACAGTACATGGCTGACCCTGCCTCCCTGCCCCTGCAGCCACCCTGGGCGTGGAGGTGCACCCGCTCGTCTTCCATACCAACAGAGGACCCATTAAGTTCAACGTGTGGGACACAGCCGGCCAGGAGAAGTTCGGGGGCCTGCGCGATGGCTACTACATCCAAGGTGAGGGCCTGCGGAAGTGGGCCTGGCCCATCGGACATGTGCCTGGGGTGAGCCCAGGAGCCAGCCGTTGCCTGGTGACTAAGAAGGGAGAAAGAGGAGAGGCAGACACGCGTCGCTTCCAGGGAGGCGACCTCTTTTGAGTGGATAAAAGATGATTTTTTTATGTGACTCGTCCATGGTGTCATTCGATCACATGCTGTGTCATGCTAGGCATGGTTTAGGGAAGACTGTCTTTACAACTTATCAATAGGAGGCAGGAAAGCTGTAGGATCACTTTTTGGTTTTCAAAACTTGTATTTGGTTATCTGTGAGTACTTACTCCCCATCATTTAAAAGAAAGATGGTGAGCACTTTATGGGCCACTTAATGAAACCCAGTCCCAGGAGCCAGGCCTTCTTTCAATGAGAGACATACTATGTCATGAAAATTGTACTTTTCTTCTTGAAAGCGATTCAAACATTTTAAGGAAAGGTGCTTGCTGGGTGGTTAAAGAAAACAAATGTGATCATACTAGCCTGATGAGAAAAACCGTTGGAAGTTCTTTGTTTTCTTGTCTTTTTAGCATGTAAGGACATAAAGGTGTTTATCCTTGAGTTGAAACATTTTTTTTTTAATTGAAACTTTTTAACCAGAAAATTGGACTGTACTTTTGCTGCCTCTTTAACTGTATCCTCACCATCCCTGTAGGTCAGGCTATGGAATCCTCACTTCAGATTATCTTAAAGGTGTAACACTCATTGACCATTTAAAGACTATATTTCTAGGTAGCAGAGTGTTTTTATGCATGGGTCCTAGTTACTATAAAGGAGATGGGTCCTCTACAATGCTGATGTACTGTTTTACCTTTGACAAACTTGGAGAGTGGTGGTGATTAGGTGTCCAGAGGGAGAAGGTAGTTGATAGAGTAAGTAGGACATTTAAGCTTTCATGTGAAAAATTGCAATCAGTGCTGTGGATTGCATCTAACTTTTTAGTATGGTGAGGGGAGACCTTCAGAATGGGTTGATCATAAGAGCGTCCAAAGATGATAAATACTACAATAAACTAAGAAACATCTCAATCCTTTGAATGTGTTTCAGCCCAGTGTGCCATTATAATGTTTGATGTAACATCAAGAGTCACTTACAAGAATGTACCTAACTGGCATAGAGATCTGGTACGGGTGTGTGAAAACATCCCCATTGTATTGTGTGGCAACAAAGTGGATATTAAGGACAGAAAAGTGAAGGCAAAATCTATTGTCTTCCACCGAAAGAAGAATCTTCAGGTATGTTCACAATTTATCAGATCATTCTTAGAGAATATTGATATAAGGTACACATGTCGTGTAGGACCAATGTATGGTGAGTTTAAAGTGTCTTGGAATGGTAATTACTAGCAGAACTCTTTAAAATATGCATTTCTTTTTGTTTTAAACAGTACTATGACATTTCTGCCAAAAGTAACTACAACTTTGAAAAGCCTTTCCTCTGGCTTGCCAGAAAGCTCATTGGAGACCCTAACTTGGAGTTTGTTGCCATGCCTGCTCTTGCCCCGCCTGAGGTGGTCATGGACCCTGCTTTGGCAGCACAGTACGAGCATGATTTAGAGGTATTTGTCCTTTTGAATTTTTCTTACATGTATGGGTGTCTTCCCTTCATGTGTGTCTGCATTTGCCTGGTGCCTGCAGAGGTCAGAAGCTGGTGTTAGATTCTCCCAGCCCTGTAGATGCCTGGACTCAAATCTTGTGTTCAGATGGCAGTGCTCTTAATTGCTGAGCCATCTTCAGGCACATTGGTCTTTATAGTTAGTTAGTGCCTCTACTTGGTCTTGGTAGTTTTGATGTTCAGTGTTTTCTTTCTTGCTCCAGGTTGCTCAAACGACTGCCCTCCCGGATGAGGATGATGACCTGTGAGAAAGTGAAGCTGGAGCCCCGCGTCAGAAGTCTAGTTTTATAGGCAACTGTCCTGTGACGTCAGCGGTGCAGCGTGTGTGCCACCTTATTTAGCTAAGCAGATCGTGTACTTCATTGGATGCTGAAGGAGATGAATGGGCTTCGGAGTGAATGTGGCAGTTAAAACATACCTTCATTTTTTTTTGGACTTGCATATTTAGCTGTTTGGAACACAGTTGTTTCCTTCCTGAATTTCAAAGATAAGACTGCTACAGTCACATCACACTATTCAGTCAGTGGTGAAATCTTGTTTGTTACTGTCATTCCCATTCTTTTTGTTTAGAATCAGAATAAAGTTGTATTTCAAATAATCTAAACAAGTGAATCATCCCTTGTTTATAAGCACTTTAAAACCAACATAAGGAAGTTTGTGCCATATTATAGTTAACAATCAATGCCTTTGCTGATTACCTGAGATCCATTCAATTATATTCTCCTTGTGCCTTCCTTCACAAACATTTGGATCAAGTCATGACCTAACTCTTCTGTTATAGGTGTAAGTACTGCTGTAGCTGCTATATCTGCCCTACCTACATTTTGCCTAGGTAGTTTCACCTAAGAAAAGAATTTGTTTAATAAAAGTTGTAAGTATGCGTGCATCAGATGTTTCATCTAGGAGTATAGTTGACAGGCTTCAGAAGTTAGAACTGCGTTTGATGGAAGCTTGAGGGTTTTGTGAGATGGAGTACGTTTCTTGGTTTCCATGGTTCTCTGCTTTTGAGTGGTGGTCTCAGCACATGAGAGGCAGAGGCAGCATCTCTTAGTAAAAAAGTGATAATTGTAGGTAGTCTGTGGCATAGCACCTGGTGATTCTTTTTCCAGAGGTCGTTTATAGACAGCACAGGAAAGGGAATTCTAGAACAGGAAGGCGTACAACTGTAGAGCAGGGTGGGCGTCTGGTGTCAGGCTGTCAGTTGGACCTTTTTCTCATTAGGTGTGTGATCCTGTCAGCTATGTTGTGATAAGATGTATTTAAAGTAAGCCATTCTGTGGGCTCTGCTAGTCCAGCCCACCAAAGTTCTTAAAGGGTGGAATACTTTAGATGGTTACTTTGTTTCTCTCCAAAGGTCGAGTCACAAAACGGGGAGGGTGAAAGGAAAGGTGTGCTGTGCATCAGCTTTTACTGATTTCAGGATGCAGTTTGATGTCTATGCTATGCTACAGTCAGATGAAGACCCCTTCCCCCAACTGGGATGAAACTTCATTTAGATGATCTATTGAATTAATACAATGTGTGTTAAGCTAATGTAGAATGCAAATACCTTATGACTCTTATTTTTGTAACAGTTAAATTTAGGAGCTACTTAATGTGTGTTTAACCAGAGTGTAGAGAATTTACATTATTTATTGGAAGAACTTCAAAATATATATTGCTTCTGCTTTGCCTAAGTTTTCTGAGTCATCTCTGGTATTTGCTATTGGAATAAGTAGTGAATGGCTTTTTTTTCTTTTTCCTCTCCTGTTTTTGAGGTTTGATTTGCCAAATGGCAGAGACCATCTTATTTTAAGGTTGTGATTTTTTTGTTTTATTTTTGGCTCTTCCAGACAGGGTTTCTCTGTGTAGCCCTTGCTGTCCTGGAACTCTGTAGACCAGGCTGACATCAACAGGTCTGTCTGCCTCTACCTTGAGTCCTGTGTTTAAGGCATGTGCCACTACTATTTGACCTCTTCAGTTTTTATACATGGGGAAAGTTCTCACCCATGATAAAAAAAAAAAAAAAAATCCCTGACTAGATGGTATCTTATTAATCAGTTACTGTACAGCAGATAGAGCTGGCTTAAGCAAGGTCACTGAGGAGAAGCTGGGAAGTTGGGTATTTGGGAGGTTTTTTTGTTTTGGTTTTTTTTGGACAGGGTTTCTCTGTACAGCCCTGGTGTGTGTGTGTGTGTTTGTGTGTGCTCACTTTGTAGAACAGCCTGGCCTGGAACTCAGATCCATCTGCTTCTGCCTCCTGAGTGCACCACCACACCTGGCTTGGGAGGTCTTTCTAAACCAACATGGAGAAAAGCTGCACCCTGTACCTGCCAGAACTGCTTGCTTTGGGTCTGGTAGATGCAGCTAGGGACACATGGAAGGTGAGAGCTGGGTAGAAGCCTGCTTTGGGCTTGTGCATGTGATGCATTGTGATAACTCTGCCATGAGGAGTGCAGTTGCTCTACCCAGTTAAAGTTGCACTGTGTCAGACCCTCTCCTGGAAGCAATACTGTCAGTCTTGAATTGTCTCTGCTCCTTTTACTCTTGAAGCTTGAGGTGGAGCTGGGTAACGAAAGCTATCCAGCCATCTAGATGTGGCTCATTCACAGCTAGTAGGCCCAAATTGCAGAGCTCAGGCTACCTGAGGTACCTGCAGCTGCAATGTACTCTCCTATGTACCTTCCTCTTCATCCGGAAGGCCTTACCTGTTAAGCATCTCAGCCTGTTTATGTTAATAGATCACACATCCCTGATGTAGACTTGTCACAGGACCGTCTCATCCCTAGTCCATGTGGTGAGTTTACAGTTGTGAGTCCAGGGTGCCATGAGAGCAAAGGTCTTTGATCACTGATGTCCCATTGTGTAATAGTGTTCTTTGGGGACCCAGAGAAAAGAGGACTAGGGAACCAGAGACAGAGTAGGGAACAGAATTGTCATTTTTTGAGGCAGGTTCTCTGTGTAACCCCTGGTTGGCCTGAAATTTGTTTTGTAGACAAGCCTGGCCTTAAACTCAGATCTCCCTGCCTCTGCCTCTGGAGTGCTGGGATTAAAGGCAAGCACCATCACCCTGAGAACAGAATTTTGTTACACCGTTGGTACACTATGGGTTCATAATCCAGTTTGGCAGCAGAGAGCTGAGTGGACAGTCAGGGTACTGGCCATAAATAAACTTCAAAATGGGAATGGTGCTGTGTAGGCAGGTAGGGACCTCAAAGTGTAGGAACTGGGCCAGGGATCTTGGGTGAGGCATGGACAGTTTGTTCGCAGCACCAGGCAGAGCTTGGTGTTCCGAGGAGCAAGGTGTGTTTGGGTTAGAAGGAAGGGCACTCTGATGACATCCTTGGAATCTAGTCCCCTGCAAAGTGTCACTGGTCTGGGAAGAGGATTGGTGTGGGAGTCCTGGGGCAGATAGGCCAGCTGCTACCTTTAAGGGATGTTCAGATGTGGCACCTAGAAGTCACCGTTTGGCTGGCTACAGGCTGTGACAGCCAGTAAGGCTGTCCGCAGTCTATGAATCAGCATGTTTTATGGAGTCCATTGGTGGGAGTATTGGATAATCTATGACTGGAAATTTTGACCTTTTGGGGAGGCATAAAGACTGTACTGTCGCAAACCAAGAATTTGTTTCCAACACATAGGTAATAAAGGTAGGGTTTCCCCTAGGGATGGAGGTAGGGTCCCTGGTGTACTTGGTCCAGGTGCAGACTGGGTCGTATAACAGTTTCCTCTGACATTAAAGCATCTCATCTTGCAGAAAGCTCCTTACGCAGGGAAGTCCCTGAAACTGATCAGATTCACCAGGCCCCTCCCTGCCACAGTAAGCAATAAAATCCGAGAGTGCCCCTCAGAGGGAAGGAAGCTTAGTTGTAAAGAATCAGACCACACCAGCTGCCAGGAGGAAGTAGAAACCAGCCAAGCTGCCTGAAAGAGGTTTAGATCAACTGAGGCACCAGTAAAGGACACTCTTCAAACCTGTTGATTCTGCCTACTGGCTATGTAATGAGCTCCAGGATCCCAGCTTGTGAGCGGTCACCCATGCTGGGAGCGGGCTTTTGATACTACAGCTGTCTGAGTCATTTCCACTCTTACAGGTAACTGCTCACCCATATTCCTATAAGTAACCATGAGTAACCACGATATAACTCACTGGTTTGCTAAGTTGGACTTTGGTAGTAACTAAAATTTGATCTGTTGTGGGTTCTGTATCTGGGGTGAATAGATGTGTGTGTAATTATGCCTAACCAGGAAAAGTTTTGTCACATAACAGGCTGCACCAAGTAAGGTGATCATGTGGAGATGACCAGGTCCTGCTGGCGACCCTCCAGGCACAGAAAATGGGCCTCCAGACTTCTAGGAAAGGGTGCTTGCAGCAGAATCCTAGAATCAGCCTGGCCCAGTAGCTAGTTTGTGGGTAACATTTGCTTTTTTCCATCCCTGACATGGATGTCTAAGCCCCTCCCCATGCTTGCTGATCAGTGAAGAATAACTTGCTGATATTTTGCTGTTATCCTTCAAATGTTTTCTCAAAAGACAAGGCAAGTAGAGGCCTAAGGACCTGAGTTCAATCCTCAGAACCCACAGTGGAACGAGAACCAATTCCTGAAAGCTATCCTCAGACCTCTACAAGCATGCTCTGTCTAGCATGTGTGCTCCAGCACACATGTATTCAGATAAATGTAATAATAAAACTGTTTTCAAAAGAGACTAAATTGGCCAAGTGGTAGTGGTGTAGGCCTTTAATCCCAGTACTTGGGAGGCAGGGACAGGCTGATCTCTATGAGTTCAAGGCCAGCCCGGTCTACAGAGCGAGTTCCAGGACAGCCAAGGCTACGCAAAGAAACCATGTCTTAAAACAAAACAGAAAAAAAAAAAAAAAAAAAAAAAAAAATGAGGTGAAATTGTACTATAATCCTGCTTCATCCATTTTTACTTTTTTTGTTTGCTTGTTTGTTTTTTTGTTTTTTGAGACAAGGTTTCTCTGTATTGCTTCGGAACCTGTCCTGGAACCAAGCTGGACTGGAACTCACAGAGATTTGCCTGTCTCTGCCTCCTGAGTGCTGGGATCAAAGGCGTGCGCCACCAACGCCTGGCCCCATCCATTTTTACTTTTACATAGCTATTAATTAGTCACCCACAGTACGGATAGACCATAGATCAGTTTGACCTATTCTGTAGATCTGGTCAAGGTGTGTCCATGTTTTTGTGCTTTGCTTTGTTACTTTCACAGTAGCTCACCTCTTTTGATGAACCTAGGGCCTTAATTGGGCTAGACCAGTGTTTCTCAAACGACCCTTTCACAAGGGTTGCCTAAGACCATCAACAACAAAAATTTTATGGTTGGGGGTCACCACAACATGAGGAACTGGATTAAAGCATGGTAGCATTAGGAAGGTTGAGAATCACTGAGTTAGACTAATGCTTTACCACAGGACTCCAACCCAGTCCTGCCTGGACTGGCTATGATCTCTGTTTTGCAGTTTCTATGTTTTACTTTTGTGGGACACTCAAACTGTCAATGGGGCTTACTTCCTAAAAGTACACATTGCTTAATGAAATAGAAACGCTGAAATTACTATTTGGAGGCAAGATTTCCCATAGCCCACTCTGGCCTCTAGC